GACTACAGGAGTCATTCTGAATAGCAAGAGGGATTCTGATCAGCCCTTATATATTTGGGGGGAAGACTAAACCTGCTGGGGTATAAGCACATTTGGTACACAGAACCCACAGATAACAGATGCTTTCAGACACTCCTGCAAAGCTACTTTCGCAATGTCTGGCAGCCAGCATTAAACACAGGATGACCTGGGGCATACACATCTAAAGTTAACAAACAAGGAACCAAAGCAGCTGTCAGAGGATGCTTTTATGTATTAGGAAGCCTCCAACACTGTTCAGATAAATTATAGGTTACATAATAGTGCCTGGGATGTTTATACAGAAAATAGTTGCATACTCCTGATCTGATTATTCTATATTTCCTTCCAACCCATGCATAGGAAAATCAGTATAAACCTCAATGAAACCTAATTTCAGTTATTCAATTTCCTTTCTTCAGGTGAGGGAGGAAGAAAAATAGAATTCAAAATTCACTGACCTTCCCATCTGTTCTTCCTGTTTATAACAAGCTACTTCAATAGGTTCCCACTGGAAACAAGCTGAATTCCCTACTCCAAGTTTATTGGGTTAACATTAAACACAATATGGGAATATGAATTCATAAGTAACGAGTATCTTGCTGAATTTTTCCATTCTATTAATGATTCAAATTATTTCTGCTGCTTAACTTTTAGAGACCCTAACAGGCTTCTTCACCAGATATAGATAGGCAACCTTAATCAAAACAAACTCACTGACAGTACTGTTAGAGCTCATTAGCATTCTCACCAGATGCTTCTGTCAGTATATAGGAACATCTCCAGCTTTTTCTTTCCAGTACATGACCCATGATACTAGCACAGCTTTCAAATTAAAACAAAAAATCTCAGTAAAGCTTCAGATCCTTGCTTTTCAGGGGATTAAATCTGTGCAAGGCCATGACAAAGAATTTAATATTTCTTGGATTTCTTAAAAACATTTTTTTAATAGAGATCACTTCACTGATTTTTTTTTCTTTTTTTTTATTTCTCAGGAATTTATACAGATATGACTAACACATACACTATTTGCTTTCACAGAAAAAGTGCAGAGAACATTTGTCACTATAGTTATCACACAGGACTTTATACACAGAAGAAACCTGTGCTTCATCTGTCTCTGTACAAAGCAATGCTCTGACATGAAAGATGTCAGAAATCATTCCATGGAAGAACTTAAAAACCTCACACATTGATTAAGTTGCTGCAGACAAAGTAAAGATCATAACAACAAGTTATGACCCAGCTCCAGTTTTTAAGTGAATGAAAAATTAGAGGGCAGGGAGGCCAAATATGTGGGCTTCACAAAGAATGTGTCCTTGGATGTGCAAAGCAGAGCCGATCAGATCTCATTGTTAATTTATTGGAAATGAAGCTGTGACAACAATCTCAGCCCCAGCTCATCAGTTACATAGGTACAAAGCATCCAAATGGAAAACAGATTTTCTGATTCCCTGTACCTCCCTAGAGGCCTGTGCTGCTGTCTGAGGACTACAGCATTCTCCTTTCTTGGCTCATTTGCAAGATAAATATACTCTGGCCTTAAGCGCTGCTCCTTTCCAACTGCTGGTGAAAACTCTAGTCAGTCTGAAAGATTAAGAGGATGATCTAGAGCACTACTCAATCCAAGAAAAATGCTCATGTGGGAACGCAAAGCTGTTGTTGTGACCAGAGGTGGTTTTATTTTTTCCACTGGATCCCATTCTGCAAGCCCAGATACAAATACTTTCTATCTTTATTCTTTATCCACATGAACTTCCTTCCTTTTTTTTTTTTTTAAGGGAGCCAGACACTTAGACTTAAACAGATTTTTACAGTGCTAGTTAAATGCTGCTTTTCTGCACTCACGATGGTTTAAGATGTGACTGACAGAGCCCTCATACCTGGGTAATGTTGAGCTGGATCAGTATGTAGTTTTAACATTTTCAAACACCTGCAGGAAGCTGTATTAATGATCAGACAGATGGAACTCACATCTTAACTACACAGTACATACATTTAAAGATCCTTCTATAATGTTCTTTGGGAGAGTTTTTTGGGAGCTGGTAGATCAGCCCCTACCCTTAAACAAGCTCCAGTTCAGCTCCTGCTTTCTGCCTCTCTGTCTCTGCTTTGATTCCTGTTCTAAAACTGATGTATGGCGCCTTCAAACTTTTCAAGTGTTCACTGACTTCTAACCCCGAATCAGCTGCATTTCCACACTTGGAGCAGCAGTTCCTCCATGCTCCTCATGCATCCTTAGGTGGGTATGATAGAACCCTAAAATAAATCACATAACAAACTTTAAAACACTAGTGGGGGACATTAGAGAAACTGCTAGTGTTGATAAAATTTTAGTGCTACAGGCAGATCTCATGTCTTCATTATTATTGCCCTCTTCAAACTCAAGGTAACATATATAATTTGAGCACTGGGTTAGAAGCTACAACAGGAAAAGGACTAATTACTCTGTTACAAAAACCTTCCAAGCAAAATAATTAAACCGTGTACATTAAAAAGCATGCACTTTTAAGACTAACAAACAGATTAAATTCTCCCAGTAACACAGGGACAAGTTTTTAGTTGCTTTGAAGACACGTAATTTCTGTGACAACAGTGTCTAGAACAAACTATGTATCACTTACATCTAGAGATGGCCAAACCTCCACAGACCTAGAAACTCTTGAACTCTGGGAAAACTTTGATCCAGTCCAGACTTTGTGGCTCTGATCCACTTCAGCTGGGACAGACCCAAATCTGCTTAAAATATATTTCACAACACATCTTTGCCTGCATTTTTTCCCAGTAGGTCATAAATACCACATGTAAAACCATTTACCCTCATTCACAACACCTACTAGCAGAGCCAGCTATTCCAATCTACAACCCAGAATGTTACAGAAAAAAGAAAAAAGAAAAAAGAAAAAAGAAAAAAGAAAAAAGAAAAAAGAAAAAAGAAAAAGAAAAAAGAAAAAAGAAAAAAAAAGGCAAAAAAAAAAGCAAAAAAACCCAAGTTTTAGATCAGTTGACTTTGCTCCCAAGGATCAAGAAGAAAGCTAAGGTACTAAAATCAGCACAGTCAGAATATTTGGAAGAAATTCAAAGTGAGGAATGTCATGTGACAGGTACAGTGGGGAGCAGCTTGCAAAGCACAAACCAAGTCATCACTTCACTCTTGCTATCCCCAGAAAAAACAGACTCATTTGAATACAGTTTCTAAAGAGGCACATTATGCAAATCTACAATTTGAGGTGGGGAGGGGGGTTGATAATGTAGCAGCTTCATTCACTGTAGTAGGAAAGGTGAGATCACAAACCACATCGTAAGGTTGTGGTTTTCAGATGACCTAGCTGAAAGTGACAAAACTAAAATCCAAGGGAAGTGGAGTCTGACAAGCTCTTTTGACTGCATTCACCACCAATAATTGAAAAACTGAGTTGTTAATAGCTTAAATCAAGTACAGCCAGACCCCAGATCCACAGATCATAGGATAATTCCAGCAAGAATGGACCTCAGGAGGTCAGACTGGGGTGCTTAGGGCTTTATCCAGTCGGGTCTTGTAAACTTTCAAAGACGGAAACAGCACAGCCTGCCTGGGCAACCTCTGCCCTTGCCTGACTTGTCCTTGGGGTGAAAAAATTTTTCCTTGTCTAATTTCCTTCTAACCTAATCTGAACCTCTCTGTTTATTTTACACACCCCTACACAGCACTGTGAATAGCCTGGATTTGTCTTCTGGATGATTTCTCCATAGTTACTGGGTGGCTTCTGTTTCTTAGGTGCTCCCAAAGATGTCCCTCTTCCAGGCTGAACAAGCCTGGTCCAGCAGCCATTCCCCAAAATGCAAGTGATCCAGTCCCCTGACTTTCCTGGCAATCCTCTGCCAAACTCATTCCAGTTTATCAATATCTTCCCTGTATTGAGGTGCCTAAAACAAGGCTCCCGATTCCAGGTGTCGATTAACAAGTGCCAAGGAGAGGGTCATGATCACTTCCACAAATTTGCTGTCTATCCTCTTATAAGTTCACCCCAGGATTTTGGGGTTTTCTAGCTGCTAAGGCACACTGTTGCATTATGTCCTGCTTGCTGTCTACCAAAATCCCAGGTCCTTTTCCAGAGTTGCTTCCCAACTGTGCAGTCCTCAGGCTCTATTATTGCGACCAAGCCTTCCCATGTGCAGGGCTTCACATGCCCTTGACGAATTTTCTAAGATTTCTGTTGACCCATTCCTCCAGCCTGTCCAGATCCCTCTGGAAGGCAACCCTATCCTCCAGCATTATTGACAGGTCCTCCCAATTCTGTGTCCCTTGGAAATGTGAGTGCACTCTCTTCTCATTCTTCAATAAAGCTCCTAAACAGGAAAGGACCCAGGACAGATCCCTTTGCCACTCTGCTTGTCACAAGACTCCAGTTAGAATAGGAATCATTAACCTCTACTTTCTGAACCTGATTCTCCAACCATTTTTTTTACCCATATAGTTGTCTGCCCATCCAGACTGTAGTACTCTTAATTTCTATATAATAATATTGTGGGACATACCATCAAAAGCCCTGGTAATGTAAAGGCAAATGACATCCTCAACTCTCTCCTGCAACAAAAACAGTGAGAGTTCTGCTATTGAACTTCAGAGAATTAGTTGTAACTCTTGGCTCAGGAAAGGCACACTGCAAACCATGGCTGGTGCACACACTCAGGTTATTCTCCAAAACACCTTTGGAAAGTATAGGTTTGTAGTACTGGATTCAGTAGTCCAAATCCTTAGCTGGAATAATTATCCCAGTTCCATTACACTCAGCCTATACACAGTATTTAATCTCAGATAATCATTCTGGGATATTATACACCTTATACTTGTTGCCTGAGCACTACTTGCAGGTTGCACAGACAGGACCAAGGAAGCATCAAGGAGGAATAACAAGAAAAACTAGAAAGACACAGAAATTCCTCAGTTATCCTGGGAGATGCACAGATCCACTGTGTTCCTGTGGGGGTCTTTCTCTTACCTTTGCAAGGAAACTCCAGGCTGCATATTGCCCTGAGGTTGTGCTGCTTTTTAGCTTCACTGTGTGCAACATCAGAAAGAATCCCAACAGTCCACTGCAAGGGATGGGGAAACTTGTTAATAAAATCTCTTAATTTCAACTAAACAACTTTTTACAGGCATCTTGGTTTTCCTGATGGAGAACTGAAGTGTTAATCCCATTTGGAGAAAGCAAGCTGGTGGACAAGTAGCTTACATTATGTCCAGTACATCTAGTGTTTGCTCAGTCAGTGACTAGAATCTGAATAAAGTAAGTCTGACATTCTTATGGCTGGTCTCTAATGAACTTGCATAATCAGAAAAGTAGAGATTATTGAAAACATGAGGGGAAATATTAACTTCAGGCATTGAAATGGCTCTGAATAACAGCAATGCTAATTTCAGCAGGAACCACACATATTTGGCAACTAACTCACTTCAACCTCCACAGAGCCTTCAACTGAAAAAATAACCACTGGAAAGTTTCTGCCTGAAGCTTTCAAGCTGTTTAAATTTCATGAAGCCTAAATTCCAATTAGGAAGTCAAATACATCTCTACTGTTTAACAAATAGATGGCTCAGTCGTGCTGGGAACAGGATACTCCAAAGTTCTCTGCTGACAATTGAATTAAGAGAAGTTTGATTCTCAAGTCATAGGACAGCAGTCCCCAGCACTCCTGTGGCCAAGACTATCCTTAAGGAAATTCTGTTCCACATCTCACCAGTCCTTATAGAGTTTATGAGGTTTGGCTCTGGATTTTGTTTCACTTGTGACATATGTACAACCCACTGATTGTGAGCCAGTGGAACAGTGAAAACCAGCAAGAAGGGAACAGAAAGGGACTTCAAAATATGTAAGGCGCAGATTAGTGTGAAGCATAAGAGATTACAAAGTGCTGTGGGAAGCTGCATGGGAAAGGAGATAGGATCAACACAGCAGACAAGTGGTGAAACAAAAAGTGCCTTGGTGTTCACAGAGGGTATGCAATTCTGGATAGTGATGCCATGCAGTTTCCCCCCTCTCTACAGCAGCAGGAAGGGTGCAAAATGGGTCAGAAGTTCTGTGCTGGGCTCCAGTATATCTTCCAAGTGCTGTTCCCTGCGCAATACATGTGGCCAAGATCCATCTCAGTTGTGTGTCCATACAGGCACCAAAGAGTAGGGTAAGATAGCTTCCCAGGAGTAGAAGGCATTAGGAATTTTTGCATTGAGCCATAACACAAGATCCTTTGGGATGTGTGTGAAGTCTGAAGCCAAGGAAGTAGATGCTGCTTTGATGACAAAAGATAGGCCTAAATTCAGCAACTTGTTGCAGAGGATGGAGTGTTGAGAAGTAAAAAGCCACTCTGAGAAATGAGTGAGTTCAATGAACCACTCCATACTTTTAAGAGCCCAGTAGCTTAAGTTTATTCCAGATCTTCTGGCCTGCTGTGAAGGGCTTTCAGTCATGGAGATTTGAAGATATTTGGTGCAACTCCAGAGACAAAAAAGTGAAACAGCAAATTATGATACCTAAAATATTGATGCCACAATTAACACCAATTTATTTCATTAAATAAATTGAGTACTTTGCACCTTACTGTTGATGCTTCAGACATTCTACAGAGGCAGTAGATTTAGCTGCATGAATTGCCCTTACCTTTCATTGCATAGGTTTTCCACCAAATCCCACATATCTACAAAGACACTAGATTATAAAATGTAAGAGAGCAGCTGAGATGTTTGTTTCTCCATCTAACCATTCCTTTCCCCTTCCTGTAGTGTAGAGTGCTGTCTACTATACATGTACTGAAGATGGGCCAATGGATTCAGAAGTGGGAAGCTACCACAGAGGTAAAGTTCTAATGGAGTGAACAAGAAGAGTATCTGGGCTAGACAGATACGAATTAGTGCCTGCAGTTAGATGTCACCTTCAAAAAAAATAGATTTCACCTACCTAAAGAATACCTATTTGTGAGCGACTTGCAGTGTGGATAGACGACACTTGGAAAAACATAACAAAAACCTATGTACATTGGAAATTATTCAACAGTCATTCTCAATATCTCCTTTCAACAGAAAATCCAGATACAAGTCAGAAAATCCCTATCAGGAAATTTTTTTGCCATTAGTTAGCATGAAAATATATTTTTCCAACTCTTAAAAAATTACTTTTACTTGGTAAAAGACTTGGGGGGAAAGACAGGAGTTTTTTAAAAAATTAAGATCTATGGGAAACATTATTATGTTGTCCTGTGAGAATTATACCAACATGCAGTGAACTTTTGCTACTGAAAATAATGGACTGCTTGTTAAAGCTTTTCCTTTTACCCAAAGCAGCATTCTGCCAAATAACAAGATGTACAGGCAAATAGATCCATGTACACCCATATACTGCTGAAGACTAATAATTAGCAATTGCTGCAGACAGCAAGTTTGGGCTAATCTGACTTCTGAAGCGTTTGAGAGATGCTATGTATCAAAGCTTTGCTACAATGGGTAAACATTGTTTTACTGGTGACTGGGAGCTCCAGCAATCAGAATGTACTCACTCAGGGAAACGCACAGCACATTTGAATATCAGGCCGTCAAATGCATACCCCACAGACATGCAAAAATACATTCTTTGCAATTATCCTGGCTCATAGCAGCAGAAACTAGTATAAGTAAGGCTTTACATGCTGCAAAGTTTTTAACTGAAAATATAGGCAGGAAGTCAGCTGAATCTCTTATTTTGAAAACGTTTACATGACCTGTTATAGAGGTTACCTGGCACAGCAGCTGCTATGAAACCTGTAGAAGTACAGGAATGGAAAATCCAAGGCACTGAAGAGATCACCTGAGGGACAAAGCAATATACTCAGTACATGGTGGGAAAAATTTACCCACTGTTACAAGCAATGCAACAGCAATTACATGTACATTACTAGTTTAACATCTTCTGAGCCTTTACAGCTGGCTGACTTTTCATTTATGATGCTTTCCACATTTCTGGTGTGTTTAATGATTTCTCTCTGACCTTGCTTCTAGCCAGTTCTTGCCTTTGGTTGAAAAAGGGAAAAGGGACACCAGAGAGTATTCTTTGCTAGTATTCAGAAGGTCCTGCTTAAGCAGCATTTGCCAGTGGACAGACATATATCATATCCACTTCTTTTATTACACAGCATGTGATAGCTCCTACTGAAACAACAGGAAACACAGACATATGGTGGCTGCTCCCCCCTCTGGCATTTGAACTCTGTAATACAGAGCATGTTGAGAGGTCTAAGTAGAGCTCTTGAGTACTTGTACTTCCAGGAACCTGAGCCTTCATTGCTCTTGGTGGCAGTTCCAGGAGTTCTTTGGCCTTCAGGCTCTACAGATTTGCATGAAGCTCCATCTCTCACTTTTTGATATGCAGGACTGTTTGGCTTAACATGTATGTTTATCCTGGCGGGGGTTTGCTATATATACAATCTGCACAGGAAAACACCAGGAAAAAGGGTGAATTTATGTTTCTTTAAATACTTCCTTCTTTGTTTTTCTGCCTGAATAAATGTCTAATGAAAGCAACAGATGAATATCTTTACCCTCCTAATTATGAACACACTAGAAAGTAAGAATATTAGCCACCATAAAATATTAAATTTCTCCATTTTTACAACCTGATGTGCTGCTACTTCAAATCCTGCCATGGGTCCAAGCAGTGGGATCCATGTATTGAAAGCAACAAAACAAAAACTCTGCATAGCAATGGGGACAATGCAGAGAAGGAAGCCCAGTTCTATATGGACTCCAGAGACTTTGCTCTGAAGAGGACATGTTGACTTAGAGAATCATTGTTCTTTACCATGCACTACCTCAAAAGCTGTTCTTTGTTGTCTGACCCATACTGCTTGTTTGCAAAGGACAGCTAAGAATGGTATTGGGAAATATCATGCAATTTACACCAAGTTATATACTCTTCCCTTCCTACGTGGTAACATATTACTGGTCATATTCAGGGCTAAAATCCTGAGGGTTTGGTCTCTAAAAATATTCATAGAAAGCAAAAGCAACATGGAAATCTAAAAATGGAGGAACTCAGTTCACTTTACCTGCTGGATGGGATGCAGAGGCCAACAGCACTACACTAAAAAAAAAAAAAAATTAATTTGATACTACAAAATCTATGAAATGAGCTGAAGACTATAAATTGACAGTTTTACTTTTGTTTTTTCATGGTGAAACTTATTCCAGTTACGTAGAATAACTGAGATATAAGTATCAATTAAAAGAAAACAAAAGTTGATTGGAAAGGAGTGTATGGGGGTCACCTAATAAAATTTCTGACCTGAAGCAGGACTATCACAAATATTTGATCATGCCCTCTGGTTCTGTCTCAAAAAGGCATGTGTCAAAAATCTACCACCGTAGAGATTACACACCTCTCTGGGTAACTTGTCCTAAGGCCATTCTACCCTCCTAGCAAAGAAGTTTATCCTGCTGACCCATTTTTAAACCACCAAAGTTGCAATGTATGGTTGTTGTTCCATATTATGCTAAATATTGCATTTAGACAAGTTAAAAAACACATGAAAATAAAAACAAGTACCAGCCTGAATGTTTCACATGTTTCAGATACAAGTGAACAAGAAAACCAGCTGTGATCAGTTCTTTATCAGAAGTGTTATCACTTAAGTTTTCTAAGGTCTTACAAAGATTCACTCTTTTAAATTTGCAGTATAGATTGCACAGAGCCTTTTTTAGTGTTACTGATTCTTCTTGTAGATTTCTCTTTTTTATTTTTTTTGCAAATTTTTTATTCCAAATTGCTTCTAAGGTTAGAAGGCTACAGAAACATTCTGGGGCACTGTGAGATTGGATAATCATGCATGTCTGTAGAGCTACAGCTTCTTCCAGTTACCAACAACATGCATCCATGACAAACACTAAGGACAAGTGGAAGAAGAAGACAGTAGTATCTCAAGAGTTTGCTTCTTGATAAGCAGCAAGCACTGCCCTTACAGAGGTAAAAAGACACTCATTAATGTAATGAATGCTCCAGCATTCCAGGCCAGCTTCCTTCTCCAGTGTTAACGTAGTCACCATTTCCAAACCTGCTCACTCACAGCTGGTCCCAGCTCTCTACATGACCATGCTTGGTGACCTGCCCTTGGCAAGCTTTGGTGAAATCCAACATCATTCACAGAGTCACCTGAAGCAAAAGGAGCTGCAAAAAGCATGGAATTCTCATGGCCAAGGAAGCCCTGGGGGGAAGTTTGCCACTGAAATCAGCTGTGGAACACAATAGACTGAAGGAGGAAAGTGTTTGACAGACAGGCAGGCAGCTGTTTCAGGCTTCACATTTTATAAGTATTTGAAAGGCATCACATGATACAGTACATTCACATTCTCACTATTTATACATGTTTTTAAAAGGTGCTACTGCCACAAAGGTATTAAACAAGGCAAAGCAGATAATTTACAATAGGTAATTTGCCCTACCCCTCCTCCTCACACATGGGTGCCCCCCCTGTAAACAGATGCCAAGAGTAATTCATAATAAACAGGCCCAAATCCTCAGTTTCCTGGTAAAGAGAGAAAAGGAAGCAAAGGCCTACTGCTTTTGTCTGAATAAGAGAAAACAGGAGACTGATAGGGCAAGTGAAACTGTATCAACAGTGATGAGAAGTAGGGCTAAACCATGTTTCTCCACTTGCTTTTTGAATATTTTGAACAAAAACCCACCGAGATTGGGAAATAGTCAGAGAGCAGCTTCCTTCTGCAGCCAAGAGGAATTGATAACCCTAGTGGACACCCCAGGTTTTGGTCCAAACAAAACAACAGGAGAAAACAAAACCTTAATTGTGAAGTGCAGGGCAAGTTAAGGCAAATGGATTAGATGGCATTACAGCTGCTCTGTAGCTCTGCTCTGAATGAAGCATCAGTAAAAAAGACACGATGATGCTGTAAAACCAGATTAGGGATTCAGAGGTTTCTAGCAGGACAGCCTGGATATGAGGCTGCAGCAAAAACAAATTCCATGTGCTGGATTTCCCTGCTCCTCTCTTTTTTCCCCTGTATTCAATACTGAGGGCTGGGTCACTCGTGGTTTCCTTTCTGGCTAAAAAGAGGTTTTGTCAGCAAGAATAGCAATTTATGCCTGCAAAGCTGCCCTCTCCTATTGCAGAAAACCTACTGCAGCATTTTTAATTCACAAAAGTGACAGATTAGCAGCTCTTCCAGAAGCCAGATGTAGTTTTGCTGTACACGGTAGAGCCTTTACCTCCTACCTTTGCCAGTGCTGTTTATCCACCATTTGAAATTCTCCTGTATCTGTTTTCTCCTCACCAAATGCTGCTATGCCATCTGGGCATGCCTTTGTGAGGAAATTTCAGACAGTGACAGATATTGTAATGTACTGGAACTTTCTTGCATGTTCTTCATGAGAAGTAAAATATCTCTACCTGCCGCAGCATAGGAGAAAGTCCAAGAGGAGCTACAACCTGCTTTTAAGACAGGTCTATGTCTCCCTCAACATGCCAGGCGGGGATTACTACCCCTCCCCTCATGCTACCCTTCACCAGCTCAGGGGGAGAAATATGGCTCCTCCTTCGATAAAAAGTGAGGGAACAGAAAGCATAAAAGCAAATGTAAGATTATGAGAAAAAACCACTAGGAAGTAGAACACAAATGCAGAAATCAGAGTACAGTGAAATACAATACTGCAGTTTAAAAAAGGGGGTGGGATCAAGAGGATTGGAGGATTAGAGGCAGGATCTTGAAAGTACATTGAACCTCTTCTCTTCTCTTCCTCCCTGCCCCAGATGCACAAGGGAAAGGGATGAACTGGATGGGGCTGGGCACTGAGAAGCAACATTACCCCTCCCTTCTCTGCATAGCACAGTTCTGCTTTCCCTCCTACACTTGTTCCTGGCCTGGCTCCCTTTTTAAAAGCCATTGAATAATCATGCTGGAAGTGATGAAGTGAGAAGAATGCCAGACTTTCAACATCAGCAAATATTTCTTCAGATCTGTTTGATTCTGGAAAGTTCCCATTCATGTACATTTACTTAGGGTGTTCTTTTCTCCCAAACTGTTCCAGATTTTAAAACAAGAAACAGTGCATGGTGTGTAAGGACAGCATATGTTAGCAGACTGCTCATTTCAGTTGCACTTCTGGAAGCATCCAACAGAGCTTTTTCTTTTATATAAATATATATATTTTTACTCTAACATATTTGTAGATTATAACATCCAGTAATTTGTGGCTTTTAATGATTTTTTAATCTGCTCCATGCAGACGGTCTCTACACTCAGTAGTATACAACTGTGCTTTTATACTGAACTGAGAAACACTTTGAATGGCTCCTATTACAATAATCCTATGTTCTTTTCCTATGTATTAGAAAAATTTCTTCACTAAAAGGCTTTGGAATTGGGCATTGTAATAGGTTTCACATGGCAGTGTTTGAGCCACCATCCTTAGAGGTATTTAAGAGACATGTGGTACTTAGGGACCAAGGTTCAGTGGTGGGCTTGGTAGAGCTTGGTTAATGCACTCAGTGACCTTAAGGGTCTTCTCCAAGCTAAAAGATTGGATGATTCTAAACTCTGTCTGTACCCACACAGCTGCATGTCAGCTGTCTGATCTAGGTTAGAAATAAGGAACTTTAAAGACCTATTGATAATAGTGTTAAGAGGAGAAAGTTGCACTGATACCGCACTATCTAGTTCCTTCATAAATCATAGAACCATACAATCATGCTTGTATAGACAAGACCTCTAGTACACATTAAACTGTCCTGTCCTCAAGGTGGAAATGGGATCCTGTCATGGCCAGAAGAGCCCTTGAGAAGGCCTGAGAAGGGGAAGCAGCATGTACCTTAACACCTTCTAAATCACGAAATTTAGTGCTGGGTGCTGTCTGGCAGAGAAAAATCCATGTTTACAGTAATTCTAACCCAGAGCCGCCTGTGAGGAGTTAGTGCTCATTCAGAGACCACTCCTTTTGTTAGTGATATTTAAAAGTAGTTTTGATTGTTTCCTACAAAAATTAAGTTTCTGCAGTAAAGCTGTGTGTACACAGCTCCACACAGCTCTCAAACACGTTGAACAGATTCATCCAGATTTGGGAAGCAGCAGTGATCTCTCAGATAACCACATGTGCAGAGGTCTCCCACAGAGACAAACCTGCCAGTGTGTCCTGCAGCAGAAGGATTTTAGTCCCATTAGACACCACATCATGGTGCCACACGAATGAAATCTCCTGCCAAATTTTACACCCTTTCAAACATCATTAGTTATTTTGACAAAACAAAACTCTAAAAGAATTCAGATGTCACTTATCCCATTGTCCATGGTGCTGCTTGTTTTCCCTAGGTAAGATGAGATTCAAATGCTATAAATTTGAGCTTTTCTAACACATATAAATATATATACTTACAGATACATAAACATATAAATATGCACAGACCCAAACCAAACAAATAAGTATCTAGTTTGCTACCTCCCTTCAGCCAGCTGTTTTCCAACAAGTTTCTTTGCACCATCATCTTGTAAGCAATGCTGAACTTTAAGCCTCTTCCTGGGGAAAAAACTTTGGAAGTTTTGATAACAAGTTTTTGCTTTTAAACAGATGCTGAAAATAATGAATTTCCAATTTGCATAAATCCATTGTTGGATTGTTTGTTAGTTTGTTTTCTGTAAAAAGAACAGTTTATAATATACACCATTGCACCTCACGGTTCCTTAGCAAGAAGTTTCTCTCTTTCAAAAGCTTCCAAAGAAATTATCATACTTTCCATGTAATGTGGGACTCCTGCTCTCTGCTGGACACAAGTTCACAGACTTCAAAGGACCAAGATCATGAACTAACAGAGAAGCAGCCCAGCCCTGACTTTTCAATCAAAGCTGAAAAGTTAAGGCCTTCAGCCAAAACCTGAATTTAAAGGTTCAGGCCTAGATGCAATTTTCAACTAAAATGACAACTGAGAGATAGTCAGGGAGCTGCCAAACAAAAAATCAATTGATTTTACTGCTTGGTTCATGATTTCCCTTCAACACAGAGAAGTAGCTAGATCTCATTCCAGACTTCATAGGTTATTTTTGCATGTGGCAGCATATTTGCAAATTCCATTACTAATTCTTCCAAAGTTTCAATAAACACACCTACCTTCTTTGTGCAAAATTGATTTGCTTCACATTTCATAGCAGATGGAAAACAACTGACTTAAACAAGAGCCTACTTCAAGCAAACTGATATCCAGATATTGTCCATTAATGGGACCCTGGTGAATCATAAAGGCAAAAGCAGAGGCCTGCATTACTTACTAATGGAAATAGGAGATTTGATTGAACTAAGATAGAAAGAGATACACAGTGTTATCATATTGATGATGCTCACAAGATAAATGGGAATTTAAAGGAAGCAACTGTCCTACACTGGTGTCCCTGATATACCTCTGTCAAGGATCTTTCATGTGGTCAGACAAGAGCATATATCCATCTAATCAAATAGACTAGCACAACTTCACTTTTGTTACGCTTATTCCCAGCTTATGCTCTCTCTTTCATTCCTTCTGACCACAGAAGGAATTTCTTTGAATTTGTTATTCATACTTCATCGTATTCCCAAATGACTTTAGGTATGAATTGAAGAAGAGGCAAACATATATTAGGTGTGATTTCCAATGGAGGAGAATTGAATCAAGTCTCTAGATGCCCTACTTGAAATAAAGCCTCACAAAAACCCAGCAGAGGACATGTACACTGAATGTCCTGGTTTGTCATTCTTTGAAGACAGGACTGGATTTAAAAAAGCAGGGGAATCTGGTCAGTGACACAGACTCTTTCACCAGCTACAAAATAACAAGCCACTCTTATATCTCCAAATCAGAAAAACAACTGAAAGTCAGAATTACTCAATCCCACTAACAGCACGCTGAACAATCAGTTACTGCTCATGTTCTCTGCACACAGTACTTTTGTAATCACTACCTCCTCTTCTGGCAATTTTGTACAAGTTTTATTTTCTGAAGTGGGGTATTGTCAGGGAGTTACTCTGTAAATATTATTTCTGGAAGGGATAGATCACTTCTAGTGCACATGGTGACTTAAAAATTCATAATTAACACCTTGTTACCTTCTCAGGTGTATATTGGCATATCCATCTGCAACTGGAGCCAAAAAAATTAATCTGTTAAGCCATTCAACTTAGCACTGTTCTTTCAGTGAATGTCCTGCTAAATAAATACATTAAAGGAGTGGTAGCTGTCAGTTTCTTCAACAAAGCATGGTTGAAAATAAAAACATATACCACATATAACCAGCTATGGTGTATCGAAGACTTACTCATTTTACCTGAATACATAGTTGATGTACTGTTGGTCCAGATCACTGTGAGAGGAGGGAAAGAAAAATAAGGGGTTTTCTTAGCAATGCACTTCATTTGGTGTAACAGATCAGTATATTAACCAGTAATATACAGTAATGCTGTAATAGTACATTATATTAATTTATATAATATCTAATAAGGCTAGTATTGGGTAATACTTAATAATAATGTAATTATATAATTATATACATTTTAAACATAAAATAGTAATAATCTTATCAATGTTGATTATTTAATTATTAATTAATTATCAGTTAATCAATATATATTAATTCACACAGGATCCACACATTATTTTGTTGTTACTGTCAGTAGGAGTTTCATTTAACGTGAAGATAAAGTGAGACTGATTAAAATTGAGACCCTTTAACCAGGGATGGGAAATGGTTTTGAAATACATAAGCTTATCCATGAATGTATATTATACATCATATGCAGTGTCAACATATCCATCCCCATCCATAAAGAAAACTGCAGATTACAGACACTGTGAACATGCAATGCCACCTGATTCCAAGAATTCTGTTGTGTGGTTGCAGTTCTAACATGAACATGGGATTAGTGCAAGGTTTCAAGGTGTTTAAGGTACCCAGCCATTCCCATCCTATGGTAAGTCACCAGCTGCTGGACACTTCTGAGCGTGTCACAGAGGAAGATACTAACAGATCCAAACTATGCAGCTTTCCACTTGAACACAGAAAACCACTTCCTCTTAACACCTGTGCCAGTAATTAGGGGTTCTTTTTCCAGGGCTGAGTCATCACCCTTGGGTAATACATTGTTTAAAACTAATTCAATGTTCCAGTTAGCAGTATAACTACCAATAACCACATGCTGTTGTTACCAACAATAAATAAGGCTCGTCTTGCAAGAGAAGTCATTAATGATTAACCAGGAGTGGCCCAGCTCCTGCTGATCATGCAGAGCTCCCTGCATCAGTCATCTCTCTTTATAAGAAGAATAAGAAAACACAATTACCTTAAAGATCCAGGTTTCCACAACTTGTGAAATACTTTGTAAGCCCCTGTAATTGAAATGACATGTGTAATTGCCATATCATGCAATCATTCTGACAAACAAGAGCTTGTTTGGCCGTGGTACTAGCCGACATGGAACCCCTCTGAATTACAGTTTAGCAACACATCACAAAGGATTCCTAAACCATGAGTAAAATGAACCTATTGCTTCAAATTAATGGTTTTCAAGGTGCTATCAGCTCTGAGCACAGTGCTTTGTGGTTCTGCTAGTCCTTCCGAGGACAAGACATCTTCTAGCTCACAGCAAAAACAAAGGAGAGATTGTGTGTATGTGTGTGTATATGGTTTTGTGTGTTAATGCACACAGAAAAGTGTCACAGGATGGGTTCTTCAGCCCACACCATTTTGGGGGTAAGTCCTACGATATATATGTCCATCTACATAGAGCTGTTTGCTCTAAGCCATTTTTCTTATTCAAAGTTCTCTAGTTCTCTCCACTCCAGTGTCTCCAGGTCCTTTACATTCTTGACCCACCCATCTACCTCCTGTTAGCTTCCATTTCTGTCCTGATTAAAATTTAAGCACTCAAGAAATGACACATCTTCAGGCTCTGTTTTTTAAGACCCTTTCTTCAAGGCTTTGGGGTAATGTTTTTGATTCACAGAGAAAACCAGAAAATGAAAAGTAAGTCCAGTAGAACACTATGAAAGAGATATTCTAAATTCTGCCTCCATTAGACAAGTTGAAGGGTAGAACACACATCCTTTCTATAATGTTCTGTCTTGATTTACTATGCAGTAAGTTAGTTCATCTGTTTGCCCTTTCTCGTAGCACCTTAATTTCAGTTGATAGGAAATCTAATTACACAAATATCTCCCAACAGCCATATCAACAACCCTCAAAACCAAGAGAAAGGGAAGGCAGCTATATTTTGAGCATAAACATTATGTTGGCACTTCCCACACATTTCAGACACACAAAAGAAGCATTCTGAAGACTCTCTAAGCAATTTTCCACCTCCGTGACCAAGCACTGCTTTACAAAGGAGACCCATTGGCTTTGAGAATGCAGGAACATCAGTCATTACAGCAAACAAGAATTTGAAGTGGAAAATCCATAGCTTTTACTTTTATCTCAATGAGCAAATGTTTACCATATAATATTTCTCAAAAAAAAATCCCAAAACTATTTCTCATTTTTATGGTAACAACATTTCAGATGGGAATCTCTAGCCCTCCCTAGACAGGAATACATATAAACACATTACCTCTGCCCTAAAAATTTTACTGTATGAATAGAAGAAATAAAGAATCATCCCTAATCTGCAGACAAGACCTAACATACGAATGAGTCACTCATTCAGTATATAGGGCAGATAAAAATCAAATACAAGTCCCTTATTATCCACAAAAATACTCCAAAAGACAAAAATCTCCTAGTTAAAAATTACTATTCTTGTTTTCTTCAGATTTTTTGGGCCTGACTGTTTCTAGCTTTTCAGGGAACAGCTACAATTTATCCAAATCAATGTTTGTCTGGAAAAAAAAAAGAAAAAAAGGAAACCTGATAGGTTATGCAAGTCATTGTTAAAATTTTTTAAAAATGCATATGATTGCCTAAAAAACCCCAGCATTTCAACATCCTTCCTCTGGGACAAGAGTCCATGATATTTTAGTATGTTTTTGTCAGTTTTAAATAAAATCTTTGTGTGTAACAAAGCTCCAAGTACAAGTTATTGCTTGCTTTTTTCATGTTTCTTCTCCCCTCAGAAAGAAGTCTCTCTCAGTAGGCAACCATCAAAAAACAACCAGAAAAGCTTAGTGCTGATTAAAATTGTATGTGCATTTTCTCATCCCCTGTTAACAGACTGCAATATGCAGTTTGTTCTGTTGTTGTTTTCAACATAAAAGCTATAAAAAGAATGCACTTTCTTATATTTACTGATCTTCATTCTTTCCAAGTGCTTCTTATGTATAGAGTCTCAAATATCAGTAACTCCAAAATAAAGCCAGTTTCTCCAACAGATTTACTCTTCGTAATTCTTTTTCTAGAAGAAAATTACTTACCAACACAGATCAAGTGAATTAGAGCCCATGAATATCCATTTGGATCAAACTGCAATAAAAAACGTCTACATAAATAAAAGCACAGTCATGTAAATATACATATTGCAATTTCCCTGCAGTTAGCTTTGCAAAGCAAGTCCAGCGAGTGGGAGCTGTGCTACAAAGAAAGGGAAAATGACTAAAGAAGACTAGGAAGACTGAAATTCTTCCTGTCACACTCAGAAACCTGGCATATGCCAATTATGCAGGCTCTCAGCTCGTCTCAGCAAGGATAATTCTATTTCAGAAATGTACAGCAATTTAAGCAGTCTGAGCATATGGACCCCAGCCTATTTAGTCTTGTATTGGCAATCAGGGATGGGTAAGGCAAGCAGAGGACCATCACAAAGGTTTTTGTCTTGTCTCCTGTCCCCTCTGAGCCTCTGCAGCCACTGAACAGTCTCTACCGAAGGCTTCAACTAAACAGAGTATCCAAGAGAGCTTCAAATGGACATTTGTCTTAGCAAAGCAGGCCCTCTTCACAGTCAGTAGGGAAAATCAAACATTTTTGAGAGGAATTCATCTGGCATATTTTAGGTGTCTGCTTTCAGGTGAGGTGAATTATGTACCAAGAGATCCTGCTCTGCTCTGTGGACTATGAAGAGAGCTAGTGCAGGTGCAACATTTCCAATAGCCACATTTGATCAGATTTATCCAGACAACTTCCAGACTCGTCTGACTTCAGGGGTATTTAAAGCAAGGAAGCAGCTTTCCTAAGTTTCCAAAAGACAATCTCCAATGAATAGATCTTTGCTAGATGGAGCAGTCTCTGGAGGTACCTCCTTTCTTTCTCGGGTAGCTACGGAAAGTGCGTACAGTGAATACAAAACTAATTCAGGAACTTCCTGAAAGTACACACAATTAATTCAAACCTAAGCAATTTGCTGTAAGCCCTATTAAGAAGTAAAATTGTGGTTTCCCCAGCCAACACCTTCACCAAAGAGCTGTATGTCCACACTGCTCAGAGGTATTACCATGATGCAAACACAGTAAACCCAGCAAGACTACAACACAGCGAGAAGAAAAATTCACAATTGCATTACAGGAATCCTACTGTAGTTTACCAGTTAAAGCTTCATCCCTCATATGCTAACAAGATGTCAAGCATCAAGACCTGGCTAGAGATGCTTTGCAAAACAGAGCTCACCTGTGTGTCACACAAAGGAAGGCACACTGCTGCTGCCAGGAGGAACAGCACACTGTGGAGAAGAGAAAGAAAAAAAAAGCCTTCAAGACCAAAAGCTTTCAATCTGGATTAGTACACAGAGCAAAACAGAGGTAATTCTAGTCAGTTTTACACTGACCCTTCACTTGTTTAATTTTCTTATTCCATATTTAAAAAGTAATTTCTGCCATCAAAAGTTTTACATCATGCATTCTTCACAACTTGTACACAACAAAGTTTTATGAGAAGAAGCACAAAACACCTCAGAAGTGATAAAACCAAGGTTTTTTTGGTAGAGAATATTTTTCTTCATTAGCCATCTGGCTTCCCTAGGTTTTTTCAGAAAGCCAAAGTCAGCCAATTTCTGACTGAATGGCTACCAAAAACTTCTTTCATTAAGATGAATTGCCTGTTAGAAGAATTCCAGCAGACATGACTCCATTACAAATGACATTGTTACTTCAGAGCGCAGGGCAAGGTGGAAGTGACTGGTTTTGTACTGGAAATGTCTTAAGAGCACAAGTCCTCTCCTAGAATTACGCTAAATAAATTCTTTACCTATGGCTGAATCAGGATTTCTTCAAGCTACTTAGAATACACTGATAAGGAATTTCTGTGGACTGTCATTATTAACATACACTTTTTTCAGCTTATTTTCCTACTCTTTAAGGGCATGGGAAAAGACAGAATATAGATTATTTAAAAAAAATTGTATCCTTGACAATAATCCAGTGGTGAAGACAAGGCCACAGTAAGTCAGATAATGGAAACAACAGGAAGAAATTAGGAAGATAATGCCTCTAAGAACACTAAATAATAACCCAACATTATCCATTGTTAAGTACAGCTAAAAGATTACAGGATGTGGAGGGCAGTAAATATCCATTCTTCAAGGGACATGGGGCCATAGAATCAAACTTTAAACACACGACTTTTGTTTGTCCCTTTCCATCTCCTTTTTGGAGCCTAAACAACCAGGGCAAACAAGGGTTGGTAGTTGTGCAGCTTAATATCACAGAATCACAGAATCATGAAGATTGGAAGAGACCTTCAAGAAAATTTGTCCAACCTTCAACCCAGCACCACCATAATCACCCTAAATCATATCCACAAGTGCCACATCCAGACAACTCTTGAACACCTCCAGAGATAGTGACTCCACCACCGCCCTGGGCAATTTATTCCAGTGCCAAACAACTCATGTAGTGAATTCTTTTTTTTTCTTCTAATATCTAATCTGAACCTCCCCAGTGCAATTAAAGGCCACTTCCTCTTGTCCCTTCACTTGAGATACAGGAGAAGAGACTGACCCCCACCTCACTATGAATGATTCTAGCAGAGACGGATCTCATTTACCTTTCATTTCTAGGGAAGGGAATTTTTAGCTACTTTCTAACACATTAATTATTTTTCTCTTACTGTTTATGATTACCCTCTGGAACTCCAAACCTTCCAAACCTTTCCAAATGCATTGTTATGGGTACTGTTTTTTCATTAATCTAATTTTTGTAAGGAGAAAAAACATATCAAACTATTCAAGCAATTGTTAAAATAAAAATAAAAATAATTACTCCTATGTTGCAATTTAGGCTCACCGCCCACAGGAATGTGCCTTACATTCTTCATTGTTTTGGTGTGACATTATCTGAAGCAAATACAGAAGCTGGAGCCAAAACAAGTCTGAATCTGAATCTGAGTAGTTTTAAAAGCTTACCTACAGACTTTCAGATGAGAGATCTGCTGTAAAAGAGAAAGGATGATTAAAACATTAAAATTTAATGATAAAAATGGTAAAATAGCGTTTTCACCTTCCAAAAAACTGGAAAGTGATGACAGCTGATCTTACCGCACCACACACATTTAAACGTCAACAAGCAACATTAAAAATTTGAGCATTGCTTAGCAAATTAAATTTGATAAAGAAGAATTAGGATTATGGATCAGGCTACTTCACCTTGATTTATATTTTCAGATTACTTACCAGCAAATAAACCTAAAACCAGACATGAACTTCATATCTTCTCCTCAAACTTGATTTGAATTATACCAAAACTTTGTAACATATGTACTCAAATATTGAGTTTTCCTAACTGGGTACTACCTCATACAAATCAGTCTTGATCTAAACTCATCAAATTTTCCCAATTCTTTGATATGAAATTATTCCTGAGAAGCTTCCAGTTAGGCCTGTGTTTGTATTATCCTTGTCTGTACTGCTTTTGTTTTTAAATAGAGGAGTCATGAGCTTGTGACATAGAAGGAAAATATTAAACACTTTGAAAGGGACACTAATCAGAGGACAATGACACAGAGACATGCCATGGTACACACAGCTATGTTCCTTAGGCATAGCCTTAGTGATCTCTTCTGTTTGTTAGATGAAGTAAACACTCATTTATCTGACTTCTATACAGAAAACAGCTATAATGAATGGATGATGCCTTTCACAGCAAGCCAGAGGCCACTGTAGAAACAACTTTATGATGAATGATTTCCCAGTGTTAATTCACACAGACACTCTGTAGTCAGTTAGAAAAAACATTTCAAAAAAAGACTAAAAAGAAGTCTTCCCAATGCAGTTTGTGAGAAAAAAAACACACAGCTCTTATGAAAGAGTACAGGAGTTAGTCTCCTGACTTTCATAGGGGCAGAATCTCAAGTATTCAAAACAAATTCAAAAATGCACCGTTCTTCCTGCATTTTATGTGGACATGTGACCTATCTGTAGCCATACAATACATGAGATTTGTTATACTGATTAGATCTAAGGACATAGTCCTCATTCCTCTCAGCTGAAACAATGAGATTTTTATGTGGGGCATGAGAGAGAGGGAATATTTATTTTCGAAAGCAAAAACCAATCAGGAAAGCCAGTCTCTTAAAATACAGATCAGGCTGGTGATATGATATTTTCACCAACTAAAGGGGAAAAAGAAACATCAGTATAGATACTTGTCAACAGCAAGAAGCCCTCTCTGGGTCTCATTAGTGAGTAGCTATTACAGTGAGTCTAGAAAAGTGCATGGCACTAATGCCTGTATTAAGAGAAGTTAGGTATCTTGTTCTGGGGCAGTTCTATCACAGGATTTACCTTGACTAATAGATCAATTACCTCTTTCTGCACAAACTTCTGGAACCCGCAGGTTATGACTTCCGCTGCGTTGTGCACAGTGAGGAACACCGGGATTGGCTGCCATGGGGAGAGAACATAAGTGCCCAAATCAACCCAGAGCAGTCACACACATAGCAAGGGATACTCCTCCTAGAGACAGCTGTCCCACATGTCTGTGTCTTGGGGCATTGCTGTTGAAGCTGTAAACCCATGCCACATCACCTAAAAGAGACTTAACACATCCCAATCACTAGCACGTGGGCACAGGCATCTTTAAATGCAGACCCTGCTGCAGACCTGCTTGCTGTGTCTCCCACTGCTGAGTGCTCAGTCTGTTTGTACCCAGCTACCACAGTGAGATTTGCTCCAGGTTTTGACTTGCCTCTAGTTTTCCCTCTCTGGTCTAGGATCTTCAGCCTCCACAGTAAACAGTTCTCATTTGCTGTCCCATCTCTGTCTGCTGGTACTAAGAATACAGTGTGACTCCTAGCAACAGAATTGCGGGCAAGATGATTTTAGGTGATTGCTTTCAGTTACTGCTAGGAAGAGCTGCCCAAAATTAGGATAGAAATGCAATAATTCACACACAAATGATGTTGAAATTATACCCACTGAGGTATCTGGACACCATCCCAACATGAAATCATTAAGAAACAAACCCCAGTGATAACAATAATGAATCAAGCACCCACTGCCCCGGGCAAACCCAACCAGAATTAGTGGCTCATAATACTTCCTCCAAATCAGATCCATAGTCTCTCAGACAGCTGAAACAGAAGCAATTCTTTGCTCTGATTAAGATAATCTAAAGACTAAACCACTTTAGGAAGCAGTATTTCCCCACTTGTGTAAGGTATTTAAATCACAGTAGCAGAGAATGAATTAATTTCTCAGTGATGTCCAAACTTTTAAGTATCAGGTGATAAAAGCAACAAATATCTCTCAAATGTGACTTTGCATATTTTCTGTAATTTTCTTTTCTTTAACATAAAGCCAGATGAGCATTGCTCATTAAACATTTTAAGTCACAATGACAACTGGGGCGGATCCATAGCCACAACAGTTGCACCAGAGTAAGAATGAAAATCACACAAACACAAGTGGCATAAAGTTGTTGGACCCAGTTTCACTAGTACTGAAAACCAATTCTCAACCCTGTTGCTGGATAACTGAGAAAATAAACCCAGAAGTATTTAACATAAAAGTACTCTGAGCTCGACACAGTAATAGGAAATACAAGAAATACCCATAAACAAGGAAAGTTGACAGCAAAATTTACATTCTTCCCTTTGTGAAAACAAATTTGTTGGGTTTTTCTTTCCTCCCTTCTGCTTTTGGCTCTTCCAAATGTGTTTTAGAGCCAACAATGGCTCCAGTTCGCCTAGCCCAGTTAACCTTCTCCATATGTCTATTGCCTTTGATGCAAGTATTTCTTAAATTTGTGAGTGGGCTTAATGATTATGAAAAGGAAGGTTTACTGGTTGGGAAAGCAGGGTGAATAAACTCTGCAAAAATCTCCCCTCATGGCTCTGCATACTTTTTTTAATCATCACAGTCCAGAGCTAAGCAGTCCTCCTCCAGTTCTAGCCCTGAATTCTTGGTCTGGGGAGATTGCCAGCTCCTCTAGGAAGAGGCACAAACAGAGATTAAAGTTATAGCTTTGCCAGTATACGGGAGTGTTTGAAAGTGGGTCCCCTTGGATTTGATAATAAAAGTACACATAATTTCTGCTTTAGGAATAAACCCACTTAATTAAAATATGCTGTTGAGATGAGCCAATTCAGCTATGAGCTTGGGAGAGTCCACTTTCATTCTCACTGTGCCATAAAATTGTTCTACACAGTTACTGTGAGTAAAGCTTCAATGTAGGGTTGAATTTAGCTCCACTACAAGGCAGCACATAATTATGGCCTAAGAGTGCTTGTCCTTCTGTCTTGCCTTGTAAAATGGCCACAGAATTAAATCTCTAAATCCTCATTCATGTACAACAAAAGCCATTAAGAAATGTGAGATGCACCTTAAGAAAGGCTTGGGATACAAATCAAAACCCTTCACAGCCCTTCTGCCACTCCAGTGCTGTTCAATCATGAATGACCAGAGAAGAAACAGGAGGTAAATACAGTAACTCACAGGATGACCAGGCAGTAAGTAGAAATAAGAGAGAGAATGTGATTCTTACCTCCTCCACCACCCAGGTGAGCAAGCAGAAAAGATGCTGCTGCCAAAGCTTTATTGGTGCTTCCAGACAGGGCTTTCCTTAGGGAACTTTGCTTACCTTACACCAAACAAGCCTCATGGAACTTCCTTTGACAAAGAAGCAAGAGGAAGCAAATGCAATCACCCTGAGACAGAACTAATCTGAGAGCATGGGGCTTCTGAGCACATGCCCATGCTTTCCCAAGATTATTTGGGTCCAAGATAGGGCCCCCAAACCTTGCTTACAAGGACAGAGACCTCCTGTTCTTTTCTGCTCTATCTCTCTACTTGGATTTTCAAGGGATCGCTACAATCAGAATCTGGTAAAAACAGTCCCTTTTGATCCTCCTTGAGGCTGAGGAGGTAACAGGAGCAAGCTGGCTCTGGAGTTTCATTAAGATGTATTGACAGAATGCAGAAGGGAAATAGTGCAGGATCTGAACTTACAGACCAAATAACAGCATCAAAACATTGTTATTTAAAATTCCACCAATTTATTTTATTTTTTTAAGGAAGACTGTATCATTTAAGCATAAAGCATTCAAGTTTCATGAAAGCAGATTTGACATTCTGAAAACATTTGGTAAGTTACTGTGATGTAAATGAATCATAAAATGGAGTAATCTAGCCCTTCCCATAATCTCTTTCCAACTTTCTATTTATTTTTTCAAATTCTGCAAAGAACCAAAACCTTCTTGCTGAAATGGTCTTCATCAATTTCCTGGAAGGATTTCCCACAGATCCCACAACCCCATTCCACCTATTGCAAAGTTACAGCTACTGATTTCTTCAGCTTCTTCCCTACTTGTACAGTTCAGACCACTGAGGATCTGTTAAGCAAAACACTGAGAGATCCATTTCTCCCTACTCTAGAGAGATGCTGCGTGCTTCAGACTGTCACAGAGATGCTTTTTGATACTTAGTAGGATTGGACTGCTGCATTAACAATGGATCTATTATTTAAACCTCTCCTCCCTCAACCCAGGAACAACATTAAACACCATGTATGAAGGGAATGCTCTTTTTTTACAAAGTAGAGGTAATAAAGAACTGACTTCTACTTGTTCATTTCTTACCAATCTAGACAGTGCCCTGGAGCCAGCATAAATAGTGCCCACAAAAAGTACTGATGCAGGAAGCCATGACAGAATTTCAGACCTGTGAAAACAATTAAAATCCCATTATTTCACCACATTCAGTTTACATACAGAAAGTTGCTTGAAAGGAATGTGATAATATATATACATGTACATTAATTTCAGACATGTGTGTATTAAAGTCAGTATCTGATTGTTCAGTATTTCTCCCATTTACTAAGGAATCCAAGTCAGAAATTATTCGTTTTGTCTAATCCAAGTGAGGAACTAACTGCAGATATATTTTCTTTGTTTTATTCTTTCCCTGGCTCTTCTCCCTCCAAAATCATATTTTTTTTTATCTCACTTAGAAATTACTCCCATTATTATTAAAGGAGAGATATTTCAACTAGTTTCCTTGATGTTCTGTAAAAGGAATGAAACCCGACAAATGAAGGCATAAAATGGCTTACTTGCACAGACAGCACACATTTTCACTATGTACAAATACACTTGGCCACCCACACATTCATTTCTCAGCCAGATTTACAAAGAGATTCTTCCTAAAGATCAGATTGTCTCTGTGGAAGCCTATTTCTTGAGATTTCCTAATTATATTCCTTTGACTAAGCCAAACTCCTAGAGGCAGTTTGACAACTAATGGAGGAATGAAGTCATCAGATTGATCAGATTAATTTTTTTTTTTAGCCATGGTTACTGCAGTAGGGTCAGGTTTCAGTTCTGAGAAGGGGCTTCAGAACTTGCACTTTTTCTGTTTTTGATCTTGTTACCTAAAGGAAGAAAGGGATCAGGTAGGTGGTAAATTTCAGAGAGAATAATGTAAGATTTTGGGCAAGAAAAGAAAGGAATAGCCACGAGGTAAAGGCCTGAATCAAGGGCTTCCCAAGACTGAAGACATGGCTGCCTCATGCACTCTTCCTAAGCTTTGAATTAAAGCGGAGAAACATTAGTGGGCAGTGCTGGTCCTCAAAACAAAACCATACTGCTTCTAGTTCCTTAGCTTGCATCATACTTCCAATTAACATGTAAGACATGGAATGTAATTATAGATACTGGTAGATCACCACACTTCATGGAACACAAGAAAGCAGACCACTAAACAACAAAATCAGAACACTATGAAGGAAGATAAAACATGTGCAAAGATTCATGTAATCACAGACAAGGGAAAAACCATAAATGTCACTTTTCCTGTATCATATGTATATAATTTTCCAAGATAATCAAAATCCCAGGGTCACAAAAATAATCTTTAGATTCTTTCACTGGCATAAATATTTGTTCTGGGTTTTCTCGACTAGCCACCATAATTTTTTATAAAAACAGTGTTTCTTTTGAGGTTGTTGACTTCAACTGGAATTTCATCAAGACCAAGATCTAATACTGTCATACCTCATTACCAATGAATTCACATCAGACACCAACAAAAATACTACCACACTATTGGAACAACAAATTGGAAAGAAAGGGGGAGGAAAGAAAAGAAAGTGGGTCTGGGAAGATAAAAGGAACACACGATGAAAACTAAATTTTCATTTAGAACATAAGAAAATCACTCTTTCATGTTCCCCACAACTAAATTGTAGGAATCCCAAATATGTCTTCATTTCTAATGCAATTCTGTGAACTGCAATGGAAAAGGACTTCAGATGCTTTTTCCATGATGTAAGGGTAGAATTTTATGCTGCCAAGTGGGAATTTCAGGACTGAAAAAGAATGCACGGATGTTTGATGTAACGTGTCAGCATCAACAATCTGTCTTGTATGTAAACCAATTAGCAGCTTCTCATGTTGGCAATACAGTGATGTACATGCAAAATAGGAAAAGAACTGATGAGTTTGTGCTTGTTGTAGGGCTAAATCCAAATCCCATGATAGGCAATCAACACTTAAAAAAAGGCTCTGAGATGCTGCTTAGAGCTACAGCACATTAGCTGTGGGTGAAATGCAGCATTATAAGAAATGCCAATCATTGAAGACTTACGTGCCTATAAGGGTTAGGCAGAAGCAGGGCAGCAGACTGGAAGCGTTATGCAGATGCTGTATGTTCCTCTGTGCTCCACAGAGCCCTTGTTTTGGATAAAAGCTTTGCAGACAGTCAACATTTGCTATTTAAAAGCAATGATAGAGAGTTTCTTACAGTTTGTACTGGGGGGAAACAGAGTCAAAGCAGGTTAGCCATAAAACCTGAGTGAGAGGATTCAAAATATTACATTTTTATTTGGTCTTATAGTGAGGTTAGTATTCTGGACTTTAGACAAAGCACAATGATATCTATGTAATAATTCAATTCAGCTGAGACACTTTGGGATAACATGAACAGGCTCAGCAAGATCAGTCCAAGTGACAGAATAATCGATACTTTGTGGACATAAATAAACAAATGGATGGCTGAAGACTGGCTATGATATTCCTAAGGATTCTACACATAGACAAAATGCCCCCCTCAAACCAACAGATAGATTCAGAGACAGATATTTTGTAAGAGGGGATGGAAATGTCCATATCCCGATGGTAACATTAAAATCACCTTCGCACATTGTGTTTGTTTGCTTGTTTGTTTGCTGGTGAGTGCTTTGGTTGGTAGTGCTTTGGAGGTTTAGAGGGTTTCCATGTTTGGGTTCTCAGGCTGTTTTTTTTTGTTTTGGCTTTGATTTGTTTTTTTTTAATACAGGAGATAAATGTTACAAATCCACCTCTGCAAAGCATTAAAGCATGTACCTAACCATTGTGAAGAAAGGCAGGTTTAAACTTATGCTTAAATAGCTGGATGAATTATAGCCAAAGCATGTCAATTACTTCTGGTTGTTCCATTCATTCTGTTGTAGAACAGGCATTCTGTATTAACTAAGATAATGAAGAGGTTTCTTAAGAGGGATTTCAACCCCTTTCCCTACAGTGTGCTGACATCTAGTGGCCTCAAGTCTCCAGGGTCAAAATATGAACTAATTTTTCATCCTAGCCTTTCTTAGAAAAAAACAACCTCTTCAACATCAGCGAGTGGTTCTTGGCCTCTATTTTCTTTAATATCTTCCCAGGTTTTGAAAAGACAAAAGTCTTTTCCAAGCAGGGAAAAAAATATTCAACTTCTTCAATTTCATTATTTGAAGCAGAAGTAATCATTAGTGATGAGAAGCTGAACTATAAAAGGACATTACTGATGGCTGTATTCTTCTAGACTGTTTTGTGAAGACAAAATCTGCATTAAAAATATAAATTTGATAATAATATATGTATGTATCAGTAACTGCTAGTAAAGCAAGGTTTGGACCCTAATCCTGTCTCTGCTGAAGTAATTGTCAGCTTTTAACATATCCTCAGTTTATTGCAGCTATAAAATAGGAAACTGAATTCTGTTTTCATTTACAATCTCACTTATATTTCCGTGGTGATGTAATTGCTTGTATGGACATGAAAACAGAAGACAGCCTTTTTTTTCCTGACATATCCAGAGGATTTCATTCCAAGTAAGGAGATTCAATTTTTCAAGCCAACTGTTTGAATCTCAAACAGAAATTTCATCAGTTGTCACTTGCTAATAGAGAGAGGCATCCTGGCCTGTATCAGGAACAGTGTGGCCAGCAGGAGCAGGGAGGTCATTCTCCCCC